GAACATCCGACAGAATTAACTTGAGTTATTCGGATGCTTGTTAACAAGTCGCTAAGAGGCACAATCCTCACAAAAGCCAGTGCTGTTGCAGTCCTTTGCGAGAAGTCTCTTAAGCAAGCTTAGGGAAAAGCCAAGCAGATTTTTCTTCCATAGATGCGAGTCTCTTGTCCTCATTTTCTAGGTTTGACTAGGAAGAAAAGGTTATGTGAACCCTTGAAACACAGCAATACGAAACATAACACTCAAAGCACTGAGAAACATCTCTTAAATTTGAGTTCATTTTTGCACATCAAGACAGCTTGGCTGCTAAAAGGCAAAGTCGGAGGCCTGGACATCTTGTATATTGGCGCGTGCTTTTATAATGCTACAGAGAAATAGGGAGCGTTGCCTTAAGATGACATGGATCTCTTGCTGAAAAGATTCTTGCACCTCAGAATATCGTATCCTGGAACCAATAACACAACATTAATGGATGCAATCTGCAAGATAAATTAATATGCAACCTCTCCTGGGTCTAGCAATGCCACGGTCCATGCCTAATTCAGGAGGGAAATAACGAACTTCCTCTTCGTCAGAGGCTGGATTCCCGCCTCTGCTTGCAGCTCAAGGGACAACAGGTTTTCCAAGCGCTTGTTTAAACTAGGCAGGATTAGGCACCGGGGAGTATACGGGAAGGAAGCAAAGAGTGGTTTCACACTGTACCAGTTCCTCTCCTATGCACGTCTCCGCTTCATTTCTACCGAAGAAGAAATTAAATGTTCTCCATTCCTAATTCCTTTACTTCAACTTGTCTATAGCAAGAGGCACATTTCAGCTAAAACCTGTGATCGGGTACAAAGTCTGCCCCATATCAGAGATCATTAGTGCTTAAAACCAAGCGTCTGGCTTTAGTTCCTCCGTGGGCACATTTGCACAAGACACTTACTGCGCAGTAACCTAATACCACTGCACAGTAGCGTGCCGGGCAAAAATCTTGCTACTGCTCAACGTTATTAGGCTACCACCCAGTAGCGCGGGTTACTGCGCACTGCACTAGCACTCAGTTAACTGAGTACTGAACTTAACGCACAGTAACTAGGGCGCATTAATGAATGCGGGGAGGTGCCCTGTAAGTACTAAACATGTCGCTTAGGGCATGTGTTCATCCTGGAAAAGGAACTGTCCAAATACTGACGGTGCAGGGAAATGGTGCACCAATAACCTACTTAGCAAGTCCGAATATGAGCCTCCGAAGAAAGAAGCCGGCATCCTTTATGCTTTGTTCACAGAGAACAGCAGCATCAGCTCCTTTGCTTAACTGTCCGTTGCATTTCCTACAAGGCATACGGGAGTCTTTGCAGTATGTAAGCGAGTGTCGTTTTACTTGCGTTCCCTCAAGCACGTCATGTCTTACGATCGTCGCCCCTACAGGTTGGGGCTATTCTGACAGCTGGGGTCAGGAAGAGCATGCGGGTGGGCTTCTCTCCACATCATCCCCTCTTCCCCAAAGCAGGCAACGCCTCTATCGTCGTCAAACGGGTCACAAGAAGACCTAACCAAGCCCAATTTCCATTTCTGGGATGCAAGGACACGATCGCTAATTTGAAAGGGTCGCCAACACAGCCCGTGACCTTCTCAGATTACTTTTCGCTGAAATGTTAAGTGCAAATTTGAAGGAAAAGGTCAAGAATCACTCAGCACTCCCAAAGCCGGGAGATTTATTGTACCCAAAATATTTAAACAATGAAGAGCTGCCTAATAATTGGGTAGTGTCAAACCAGGGCTTTCTGCAATGAAGGGATAATGGGTGTTTAAGGAGGAGGGCATGTTTTCATAAGCATCGTATAACAGCAAATATTATCCTCCATGTTATTTAAAGGTCAAATGGAAAATTATGTTGATAATGTAGAATCTGAGACGCCTGGTTCATCAAATAGATACAACCTGAGCACTCCTTCCTTCCTCACAACCTTTTCCCTTTAATACCACTTGGAAGGAAAACCAAGTCTTTCACTTCTGGTTAAAAGCATACAAGGGCTAGAAGATACGGTCACATATAGTACCATTTCCTATGCAAGGAGGCAAAGGGACCCTTTCTGGCGACCTACACTTTTACGCAGAAGTCTACTTGGTCTCCGAGAACGTCATGCTCAAGTAACTGCGTTTTTAGTATCATTAAAATCACTGTGCCATGGCTTGAATAACACTACTAGCAAGCTGAAGTGAGCGGGACCCAGCTGCATCTTGTATGTGGTAATGATGCCATCATGCTGCCTTCAAGATGTGGTCTAAATATTTCTGCTCTCTTTATGCTAGACTAGAATACAAAGCGTTGGATAAAATCCGAGCAGTGACAGGTAAAACATATTCCTCCCTGGGAACCTGACTTTGCAAACTTTGAGGTGCAAATGTTCTGATCAGGTTTTCCCTCTTACGTTGTTATAGCATCAATAATTTTTTGGGTTGTGGCTTTTGCACATCTCCCTCAGTCACCCGATTTGCAAGTAACCGTTCTTCCATAAAGATGTATTCCTCGACACAAGGAAACAC